GAGGGAGAGGGTTTGAGAAGGAGAAGAACTGAATGGAGAGAAAAAGAGAGATGAAGACTGGAAGAAAAGAGAGAAAGACAGACACTAAGGAGAGAAAGATAGAGAAAGAGCAAGAGAGAGAGAAACTGGAAGAGGAAGACTGGAAGAAGAGGGAAACTAAAAAGAGAGAAAGAGAAAGAGAGACACTGGAAGGGCAGAGAGATGGAGACAGAAAGAGACTGGAAAGAGAGAGAGAGAAACTGAAACGGGATAGAGAGACTCGATGGAGAGAAAGAGATAGGGAGTGAGAGTAATAAAAGAAAGGGGAAGAGGGAATGGGAGTCATGTAGACAGAGAGAGAGAGAGAGAGGAAAAAAACTGAATGGAGAGAAAAAGAGAGATGAAGACTGGAAGAAGAGAGAGAGATAAAGACAGACACTAAGGAGAGAAAGAAAGAGCAAGAGAGAGAGAGACTGGAAGGGGAAGACTGGAGGAAGAGGGAAACTAAAAGGAGAGAGAGAAAGGGAGACACTGGAAAGACGGAGAGATGGAGAGGGAGAAAGAGAGAGAGACATTTCCTAATAATTGATCTACAGTGCAGTAGGCCAGGCTCACTATAGAGACGCCTCTGAACCATAATGGCCCCCTCAACCTGCATCCCGGCCCCCCCAAGCTGAAATCCTGGCTCCGTCACTGGTGCGTTTGTGTGTGTTGGCACTTTAAGCGTGTCTGATTCAGCGTCAGTGAGTTCAGACCCAAATGGCTACAGTACAACATCATAGCGGAGACGTTATGATTAAATAAATATCACTCTAAGTGCTTCTCAACACACACGCCAGGTTAAAAGCACAGCTAGGAGCTCTGAGGGGTTACAGGCCCATTTCGGCTAATCTCAGCTTTAGCTTTTAGCATTTCTAGCACTGTGAAGCCGTCATTACTGTGCTTTTGGGGAATCTGGCCTTGGGCTCTGGAGGAGATGACGCACTGGCCGGAGTTATTTAGGCCTTCAGCGTCCAACCAACCATAATTCTGCTGCGTTGGACACGATTGACACAATTATAGCAGAAACTGTGCTATAAGTGGGAAAATGTTAGCTTCCATCCCAAATGGCAATGGGAATAAACAGTAACCAGTATGCCAAGAGCAGCAGATTGGTGATAAATTCCCAGCTTAATCCAGAAGTACCTGATCAACCAAAGCGTGTTTGCATCTTTAGTTTTGCTCTGGAGCTACAAGGCTAATGTGGCTAACATGCAAGCTAACATCTACTAATTAGCATTGTGCTAACTGCCTAAAGCATCACACACCATGCTGAGTTGTTTAACCCATCTGTGCAGTGAAACACCACATACACACTAGTGAACACACACACTAGGGGGCAGTGAGCACACCTGCCTGGAGCGATGGGCAGCCCTATCCACAGCGCCCGGGGAGCAGTTGGGGGTTAGGTGTCTTGCTCAAGGGCACCTCAGTCATCTACCTATGTCAGCTGCAGCTGAGGGGATCGAACCGGCGACCTTCCAGTCACAAGGCTGGTTCCCTAACCTCCGGCCCACGACTGCCCCCCCACAGTTAGTCTTGCGAACACTGTTATCTAGAAAAACAGGAAAAAAGTGTGTTAGCATAGCTAAAAACAGTAGTAGCTGCTATTTTGAAGCATCCACTTCTGTCCATGTTTCTAAATAACAGTAAGTCATGCAGCGTCTTAACCCACATAAAGTCTGTCTGACTGTTATGTATAAAATTGGACAAAGGTTTGGACAAAATTCATGAAGCTTCAAGATGCTACTGCTATTGTTTTAGCTGTGCTAATTACTTATTAGTCCATGTTCTTAGACAACAGTGAGTGTGTTTACATGCACTTAATAATCCAATAACTGCAGAAAATCAGATTTTGTCAGTAATCTGATCAGTGCTTTTACATGCACTTGGGTAATCAGATAGTGGAGAAACTCCAGGTCCACGTGAGTCAGATAGTAATGGGATTTCTGCTTTGTAACCGGCCAATAAACTCACAGAAGAAGACGTGATGTAAACGCAATGTAAAACTCGAACTTCACTTTACCTGAAAATATGAACGCACGTCATCTAGAAGATGAAGAATATTTAAATCCTTAATTTCGTCAAGAATGTATTTGGTTTCAGCGTCGCCCTAAAAGTGTTTTGCTGCGTCTCGCGGCGACGCTGCTCGCTTATTCTCGGTTCCGCGGTCTGTTTCCGCACATGCTCAGACTGAGAAATCTGAAAGAGCTCAGAGTAAGAGTTCACATGCACTGAGGAGTCTGATTACTGAGCTAAAATCCAGCCTCTTTATCAGTCTGCAGTGACAGCAGAGGAGGGTGAAGTTCAGCTCCTCACTGCTGGGCTTTAGTTACATTTAGGGCATCATATGCCTTCAAAGAGGGGGGCAATTATTTATTATCACCCACCCCTAATTCTTCAGTGATATGAAACTGAAGTCAGATATTCACCAGATTCATGTTCGAATTTTCCTGTTCCACCTTAAATGGAGCAGCAGTTACATTCTGGCGCTTCAGGCGTCAGAATTGCTGGACTATTTAAGGTGGAACGGGAAAATTAGCTGTCTAGCTACCGAGACATCAGCATAGTAGTAGAGATTTTTCATGCTTGTTATGAAGAAAAGGACCAAAATACACTGAGGTGACATTAAACTAAGGTAAAATGATGGTTGTCTTAATTTTTTAACTCAGAAAATTCTCACTTTTGTGGGTTTCTTTGGTCTCCTGTTCAGCCATCTTGCCGGTTTTTCTTATAACACTCCGTTTGGAGGGCCATGTAGCCCCAACACTTCGCCCTACCCCTCTATCTCAACAAGAATCGGGACACCCTACCCCTAGACGTGAACTCGGAAAACAGAGGGGTAGGGCTAAGAGGTAGGGGCGAGGGGTGAAATGGGACTGGGCCTCGTTAGACCTTGAATGCAGTACAATGATGACATCCAGTCAGTGGAGTGCCGACCTGAACAAGACAGCGGGCCGATATATGCTTTCTAATCTTGATGTTTTCAGGATGAGGTGGAAAATGTGTAAATCTGATTCTTTTTTTTTGCCAAATTCGAGAAAAATATGGCTTAAAAGTGCATAAATTAGTGCTATAATAGAGAAAATGACACTGTGGCTTGTACAGTGATTTTGTGGCTCCGTCAGTGTAGTAGCACCTCCCTTTCCAGACTCTGGCTCCACGCTGGCTTTGTTTCGAGCCACGCTCGCGAGTGTGAGTGTGTGTCGGCTCCGGATGCAGGGCGCTAGTAGAGTTTGATGTCACCAGAGCGACGGGGGGTAATGGGATTTCACGCTCGGGGGGGCAGACTCAGGCTGAGAAATGGGCTTTCCATCCCCGGAGGATTCACACACACTCACTCGGAGGAGGAGGAAAGTTTAGAGTGTGTATGACTCGTGTATCCAAACCAAAACTTTAACGGTCTTTTCTTCTTTTCGGCTGGAGAGGGGAGAGAAGCCCCTCTGTGGCTGGTACGATTTGACCATTCGGCCTGAAACGCATTAAACTCAACTTAAACCACAATATTATTCATGCATGTAAGGCTTTAGTGTTCGGTGTGGAGTTCGAGTCGTGCTGCGAGTCAGTCAAAGGCTATTATTCATTTATCACTCTCTTATTCGGTGTGATCACATGGTATACTAACTGCATTCTGATTGGCTGATGCAGCTGTTGGTGCTAAGTGAGCTGCAGGAAGCTTTAAATTGTGCAGTGAATGTGAAGCTTAGTTTCATGGGACTTTATGGGGTTTATAAACGTCGAAACCTTTTTGTTTTTTACCTTTTTTTCATTTTTTACAAAAATCCCAGTCCATAACAAGGCAGTGCATTGCAGAAAGAGGTCCTACAGTTATACCGAACCAATCAAAAGTTTGGACACACTGATCTGAATGTGTGTTTGCCTACATTTTCCATAACAAAAAAATCTTTATGCACAACGAAAATGTCATATCTGTACCATATTTGACATGTATTGTGATATAAACTGAGTCTGTTCTACAGTTTCTCATTAGATTGAATGAATAACCGACTCTAAATGTAGGTATTGTGATATAAACTGAGTCTGTTCTACAGTTTCTCATTAGATTGAATGAATAACCGACTCTAAATGTAGGTATTGTGATATAAACTGAGTCTGTTCTACAGTTTCTCATTAGATTGAATGAATAACCGACTCTAAATGTAGGTATTGTGATATAAACTGAGTCTGTTCTACAGTTTCTCATTAGGCTGAATGAATAACCGACTCTAAATGTAGGTATTGTGATATAAACTGAGTCTGTTCTACAGTTTCTCATTAGGCTGAATGAATACGACTCTATGTAGTATTGTGATATAAACCGAGTCTGTTCTACAGTTTCTCATTAGGCTGAATGAATAACTGACTCTAAATGTAGGTATTGTGATATAAACCGAGTCTGTTCTACAGTTTCTCATTAGGCTGAATGAATAACCGACTCTAAATGTAGGTATTGTGATATAAGCGTCTTTGTTTTATCCTACATAACTGTGTCCAAACTTTTGAGTGGACTACAGTTGTATTTCTAACAGGTGCTGCTCAGGTGAGTCATTAATGATGTTAATTATGTTGATGATGTTGTTAATTGCCGTGTCCAAAACCACATTCTGCCGTACGTATGTCAAAAATTGCACGCCACCGTTAGAAGTCCATTCATTCATTCATTCGTACAGTATAGTAGACTGTCGTTTTGGACGCAGCTAATGTGTTTTGTACTGTGTTCACTTTCTCTTTCTTTCCCACAGAATTCTAGAAACATCTCAAGCAAGCTTTTCATACCTGAATTTATTCCTGCAGGCTTTATGAAGAATGTTTTTATATGTGTCTCCCTCTCCCTCTCTCCCTCTCTCCGCTCAGCCTGCATGACTCTTAGTGCTCTCTGTTCATCAGTAGATGAGTGAAAAAAGTAGAAATGCTTTTTTCCTGTTATTCGTTCCCGCTCTCACTCGTTTTCCCCTTTCCGTCTGTCATGTGTTTTCCATCAGTGGAAAATTGACGACTCTACGGAATCTGTGAGTAACCTCAGTGTGTGCTGCTGGTGTGTGTGTGCAGCATTGGGTGGGAAACGCTGTGTGTGGTTTTGCTTCCCTGTGTGTCTATGCGTGTGTCTCTCTCTCCCACTCCCTCTCTCTCTGTCTTCATAACCTCCTATAAAGGGCAGAGGGATTAAGTGTGTGATTGGATGATTTCTGTGTGAACCTGAAAACACAGTACCATTGCACTGACGTCGATACTGGCATTTAAATTGTGTACCAGAGCCGATACTGGCACTTACATTTGGTAAGGACACCGTTACTGGCACTTAACCTTGGTAAGGACACTAATACTGGCACTTAAATTTGGTAAGGATGCCAACACTGGCACTTAAATTTGCTAAGGACGCTGATACCTGCACTTAATTTGGTAAGGATGCCAACACTGGCACTTAAAGTTGGTAAGGATGCCAACACTGGCACTTAAATTTCGTATGGAGGCCGATACTGGCACCTAAATTTAGTAAGGACGCCGATACTGGCACTTAAATTTGGTAAGGACGCAGATAGCGGCACTTAAATTTGCTAAGGACGTTAATACTGGCACTTAAATTTGGTAAAGACACTGGTACCGGCACTTAAATTTGGTAAGGACGCCAATACTGGCGCTTAATTTTGGTAAGGATATTGATACTGGCGTTTAATATGGTAAGCGTGCTGAAAGTGTAAATTTGATATTGGAGCTTAAATATCCTATTTGCACCAATAACGACACTTAAATACCGTGTCTGTAACACATATTGATACTGCATCTCTACATTAAAGGGAAATTCCACCATTGTCCCCAAATTTCTGCATAATTAAGGCGATATAAACAGTCATTCAGAGAGGTTTGGTGAGAAATGGTTCAGATGTCTTTACAGTGGTGGTGATAGGAACCAGGGGTCGCCATGACTACAACACAGATATAGGCATTTTATTTACTATCCAGTGAACCTACACGAAATCTGAAATAATAAGTTTTCTTTGGGGACTATTTTGCTTCACGGCGCCCTGCATGTATCCCTCCACCAAGGCTGAAGCAGTAGGAGAGAGAGAGAGAGAGAGAGAAGAGAAGATGGAATAGAGAGTGAATACTGCTCTCTCTTTCTTCTTCCTCTACCCCCCCCCCATTCCCAGGTGTGGAGGCGTTTCTGTCTTTAAGCACAATTTAAAATTCATCAGATTCATAAATACCAGATTCACAGCGAATGCCTTAAACCCGACCCGGTGACCTTGACCTTGTTTTGATTTATTCCGTCAGATTGCTTTAGCGCGGGGGTGGGGGGGGTGTAGTTTTAGAGAGTGTGATGTGCTGTGTTGGTGTCGAGGGTGTCTGCTGTGTAAATCTCACTCTAAAATAGACCCTCAGTCTCACACAGCTGGATGAGTCGTTCACTCTCACACTTCTTTCTTTTTATCCAGACCAGAAGCTGTTGGATTTATTGAAGAACACCAATTAAAGTGATAATTTGGCCTCAACTCTTCCCCCAAACACAGTCAAGTTTAGTGCCTAAAGTTTGCTTCTTCAGTTTTAAGCCTGACGCTACATGGCTAACGCAGCTAAGTGCTGAAAAGAGGCTCCTTTGGAGCTTTAGGTTCCCTAAGGAACCTTTCAGCAGATGGTTCTTTAATGAACCATTCTCGTGATGAGAATTTTTCCACATAATTTAAAGATTTGTACCAATTAAAGGTGTTTCCTAGAACTGTATGGCGAAGCCCTGTTCTCCCCGTGTCTGAGTGGGTTCCCTCCGGGTACTCCGGTTTCCTCCCACAGTCCAAAAACATGCAGTCAGGCTGATTGGACATGCTGAATTGCCCCTAGGTGTGAGTGTGACTGTGTATGTCTGTCTGTCTGCCCTGTGATGGACTGGCGACCTGTCCAGGGTGTATCCTGCCTTCCGCCCAATGACAGCTGGGATAGGCTCCAGCACCCCACCGCGACCCAGAAGGATAAGCGGTTTAGATGATGTATGTATGTATGGCGAAGCCTAGAACCATTTAGAAACCTTTAGCATAGTGCTAACTTCATGCTCGAGCCATCACGCTCACCTCCAACCGTGTGGAGTTGTTCTAGACTCGGTCGTGTGACTCACTGTTATCTATAAACATGCCCACAATTCAGTCTTTAAAATGGATTAGATTAGATTAGATTAAGAGACCCTTATTAGTCCCACAATGGGGAAATTTCACCTCCGCATGTGCAGTGAAACACCACATACACACTAGTGAGCACACACACTAGGGGGCAGTGAGCACACTTGTCTTAGAGTTTTAATTAAATAAGAGCTGCGTTTTTAGATGCTTCTTAAAAGTGAGCACTGAGCTTGACTGTCTAATAAAAGGTGGAATTGAGTTCCACAGTTTAGAAGCAGAATAACTGAACGAGTCTCTCCGTGTTTTCTGTATTTTACAGAGGGTGTTTGCAGAAGGTCAGTATCTGCAGATCTTAGATTGCGTGCTGGAACATAAACAGACAGACACTCTGTGATGTAAGCGGAGCTTTAAGGTCATTTTGAGCTTTGAAAACAAGTAGCAGGACTTTAAAGTCTATCCTGAACGATACAGGCAGCCAGTGCAGCTCTTTTAAAGCAGGACTGATCTGATCTCTCTGTGCTGTTTTTGTTAGGATGCTGCCACATTTTGTACGAGTTGTAAGAGATGCATTGTTTTCTTAGGAAGTCCAGTAAGAAGATCATTACAGTGATCAACTCTGCTGTAACAAACACATGAACAAGTTTCTCTGCGTCGCTCTGAGAGAGAAAAGGCTGAACTTTAGTGATTTTCGCAAATAATAAAAAGCTATTTTAGTGACTGAGTTTACATGCAGATAAAACAGGGCTCAGAGTCTAAGATCACAGCCAGGTTTCTACTTCAGGTCTGGTAGAAGAAGCTAAAGAACCAAGTTTCTCATAAATTATTTTTCTCTGAGTTTCTGTACCAACAATCAATATTTCAGTTTTTAATTGTAGAAAATTTGAGGGTGATGATGTTTCAGTCACTGTGAGCTGCGTTAGCATTTTTATCTGAACTGTTCTCTTTTATTTTAAATCCATGTCTGCTAATATGTGCTCAGTAACAGCGAGGCAGGGCTTAAGGTCTTAAAAAGGTAGTTAAGCAGGAAATCTGGAAGTCTAAAAACAATTTCACCCCAAATTAATTCGCTAAGATTTGTTTTGTACTAAAGCTACGAGGCTAATGTACCTAACAAGTAATGGATTAGCATCTTGCTAACTGTCTCAAGCCGCGTGGAGTCGTTCCTTAATCTCTTATAGACTTTATTGTGTCGTTTTCGACGCTGTACGACTCGCTGTTGTCTATAAAAGTGGGCGAAAGTATGTTACATTGCTAAAATTAGTATTAGCAGCTGTCTTGACGCCTGAAACCTCCCTGCAACTTGTCCAGAGTCTCTCTTACTCACTGCTAATGAGTTCAGCACTGATATTGGAAGTTAAAGCAGTAAATCGACTTCGCTTGTCAAACAAATTAGCTGTGCTAGCTAAGGAAACTACAGTTACAGGGACTTGACAGATAGGGGGCGCCAAACTGAATATTTTATAGAGCCAAACAAAAGCTTCTTTTTTTACAGCTGACTGTCACACGTTTATGACTAGAGTCTCTGCTAAAAAGACCACTAGAACTATTAGGATTAAAACCTGATGGTTTTCCAGATGCCATTTACATTACACTGCATTCATTTGTGTTAAATTTGTGTTCCTTTTATGACTTCCTGAGGCAAATTTGTCTAAAAAGAAAAGAAAATGTAACACTAGGTTGTTGAAGCTGCGCATATTAGCCTTTGTAATGCCATGCATAGAAATAAAACTGGTGAAAATGCTTAAAAATACATCAGAACCGGGTTTATCAGTTCGATTGAAGTTCTCAAGGCCGCCAGAGCGATAAGAGCCTTATTTGAGAGGGATGTGATTGAGCTCTACATAAACCTCCCTTCACTGCGCTTACAAAACTAATTCCATATGATTAAAGCAGTGAAAATAGCTCAGTACATTTGAAAACGGCTCTGATCATTTGCATTTTATCCTTCATCTCTGTCATTAGGGTCTATGTGGGAGACACCATCAATCCAAGTAACCCATATTTAAATAAAAAGACCGTTTTAAACAGTCTGCGCAGCCTGGGAAACGTAACGCCATAATTAGAACCCTAAACCTTAATTATAGAAGAAAAAAGGGTTAAGTCACATGAAGCTCATCAGGCTGAAGAGTTGGAGATAAAGTGTGTGTGTGTACATGTCTTGCTGTCCTTGTGAGGACTACATGTCCCCGCAATGATAGAAAAACATGATCTTTCTGCTCAAGCGAGGGGAACGGGTTGTTGGCACCATAAATGACATTTTTTTTTGGAAAAATTAAAAATGCAGAAAAATGGCCTTTTCAGTCTTGAGGTCACAGGGTAAAGTTTAGGGGTAGGTGTAGTATTTCTTGGCTGCAGTAATACAAAAATCAGTAGAAACCTGTGTGTGTGTGTGTGTGTGTGTGTGTGTGTGTGTGTGTGTGTGTGTGTGCTTGTTTTTATCCATTTCACGGACAGAAGTACCCTCAGAGTAAACAGACCTGACCAGACCTGCTTTTAAAAGTAAGGTCCAAAAAGCAGCGCTGCTGTGTCTGATCCACTCAGACCAGCACAACACACATTAACACACCACCACCATGTCAGTGTTACTGCAGTGCTGAGAATGATCCACCACCCAAACAGTACCTGCTCTGTGGGGGTCCATGGGGGTCCTGACCACTGAAGAACAGGGTAAAAGGGGGCTAACAAAGTATCAGAGAAACAGATGGACTACAGTCTGTAACTGTAGAACTACAAAGTGCACCTATATAGTAAGTGGAGCTGATAAAATGGACAGTGAGTGTAGAAACAAGGAGGCGGCTATTAAAATCCTGAAGTAAAGGCATTGACAGTGTGTGTGAGTGTGTGTGTGTGTGTGTGTGTGTGTGTTTATTGGTAGCTGTATTGCAGGTTTGTTCTTATCACAGTGTCTGACTTTAATTACCAGTGCCTTTCCTCCTTATTCCTCCGTGTGTGTGCTGGCCTTTGCGTGTGCAGTGTGCTAAGCTTCCTGTCTTCCTGCTCTCAGTGTTCTCCTTTGTTCCAGCTTTCAGCCAGATCTCTTCTCCTGCTCCACCATACGTGTCACTGTTCGGGAATGAGCTGATCAAGCTCGCTTCTTCTGAAGGGAGTTTGCTCACTGAATGCCAAATTGCTTTTTAAGAGGACGATTTAAGCTCAGTACCGATCTGAATGTTCTGAATTTGACCTGAAACCTTTTACAAAGTACGCTGTCCTTAAGTAGTCAGTGTTTTTGGGGTGTAAATCTCTTAAACTCAATTACAAATCTTAAAAAAAAAAAAACGAAATCTCAGATTTCACCACGATTGAGTCATTTTATTAAATTACACTGAATACATTAATATGACTGGGGATTTTTACATTTGAAAATAGGCTAATTTGTTTAATTTTGGCCAGAGAGTGAGTTCATACTTTGTCCCCCTGGAATTATAAGGTTCTACCTGCGTTCTGAGCAGTTTTGAGATATTGAGCTTTAAAGATTTTGGATTCCAAACAGCAGAACTGATATGTGGAACACGTCTCTTACATACACGAGAATGACAGACACCCTACATTTATTCTAAATGTACAACATCAAAAATCTGTAAATGAGTTTTTTGGAACAGTTCTAATGCAGATAGAACCTTCTAATCCTAAGAACCCACTTTCAGCTTGGAATTATAAGGTTCTATCTGGAAAAAAATGAAAGAAGCATCAATTTTCAAGGAAAACGAACAGTTTAAACTCGTAATTCGGTTTAAAACATAAAATTAGTGTTCTAATTGAGTGTCTCAGATAGTTTAATGTATTTTTTATAACATTTCTCATTTTAGCACAAATCTTCTTTTTCTTATTCGAAAAAGCACTGCAGGTTAAGTATAAAGGTCAGTGCTAAATATTTTGTCCAGTGCAGAGGTGAGTTTTAGGTGGAAACCATTACTTTAGGTTTACTTTAGTCAGACAGAAACCAGCTACTGTAAAAACCATCCCAGCAGGTCAGCATAAAGACAGTATGAGGTTTTGTTTTATATCAGAAATGTGACTCTAATGAGCCAAAATGTCTTACATTGGGAGAAATAAGAAAAAAAAACCTGGATGAAATAATTAAATTAATGTTTAGGTTGTAATTAAAACTCCATCAATTCAAATGTTTACTATTTAATCACCTTAAAATTTATAACATTTAAGAAATGTTTTTAAAGAGCTGCAAGAAGAGCATTTTTTTCATGTTTCATAAAGTTTTCTAAACTTTTCCCTGAGCAGGTAGATGACATGACAAAGAAGCAGAACCTGTTTGGTCCTCTTATGTGTATTCAAAGTGCTGATTGCCTCGCAGATAGAACCTCATAGAACTAAGTTAGAGTTTGACTTTGGAGATAGAACCTCTTTGTTTTCTAGATAAAGAGCCCAAAGATGGACACAACTTAAAAAACCCTCGCATAATGTTAAGAAGTTGTCACAGAATAAGAATAAGAACATGTGAATAACTCAGTTTTGACGGAAGTGTCAGATAGAACTGTATAATTCTGAGGGGACGACTTTTATTATATTATTGAATATTGCAATAATCAGTTCTAATAATAATAAGGGCCTTCAGATCAATGCAGTTTGTCGCCCCTATTGTAAAGTAAATCAGCTGTGGCACTCCAGAACCTTCTGTTCCCCACGTCCTCTTAAAGACATATCAGGCAAAACTCTGACACGGATGGTCCGTGCTGCTCTGGTTCTCCTCTCTGTTGCTTGGAAAAGTTCCTCCTGGTTTACAGAGCGTTCCTCTTCTGCCTTTAGAGCCATCAGAGTCTCCAGCCACTGGAAAAAACACTGAATGGGCGATTTCTAAAACTGAACAGTCTGATGGTTTTAAATCCAGGCGTGTGTGGAAAGGGTGATGCGTTCATGTTTGGTTTGATGAAGGGGGGTGTATACGCTGTGGCGGGTGCCGGGGGGTTCGGGGTCGTGGTTTTTGTTGGGGAGCTCAGACGTTTTCTCTTTAACAGGAGGCCGTCATCACCGGGCTGCTCTCAGAGACGTCCTACTCCGTTACCGTGGCAGCGTACACCACCAAGGGGGACGGAGCTCGCAGCAAAGCCAAAGTCATCAAAACCACTGGAGCAGGTACAAAACTGATCATAGCCACGCATAATTAAAGGGCAATACCACTGATTTTTCAACATTTCTGCATAATTCAGTGAGTGAGATATAAACAGAGTGATTCAGAGTAGTTTGGTGTGAAATGGTTCAGATTTCTTTACAGTGGTGGTGATAGGAACCAGGGGTCGCCATGACTACAACACAAATATAGACATTTTATTTACTGAACTTTTTATATTCAGTGTTGTTGATGGTAAAATAGTGGAAAATCTGAAATAATAAGTTTTCTTTGGGGACTATGTTGCCTCACAACATCCTTCATGTATCCCTCCACCATGAATGGATTTTACATTTGAGGCTAAAACTTTACAACAAACTTAATAAAACAGCGTCTCAGTCATCAGGCAGTGAATTCATAACCATGTCATGTAGTAACTTTCTGTGAGGGAGCTTTTAGAGGTGGACGTCTGGTTCCTATCACCACCACTGTGAACAATTCTGACTCAGTAAGTTTCTCTAGCGCATTTGTTTTTCTGAATTTGTTGGCACTATAAACATTTAATTATGCAGAAATTACAGAAAAATCAGCGGAATTCCTGTTTAATGTGGTTTAATGGACCCTATTTTCAGGAATGTGCTGCAACATATCAGTGTTTTTATAACCTGAAAGTTTGTTTTGGTAAGTTTTTGCACTTGGCGAGGTGCAAAAAATGCAGTGTGTTTGTATTTTTGTTAAAATTGACAGAATAGTTCTGGAAAAATCGAATTGACTGAAATTTCCTCCTTACCCCAAATGGAGTTGATCTCCCAAAATAAGTTTGGTGTCTAAAGTTGCCTTTTTTATTTCAGCAGGCTAATGTTGCTAACAGGTAATGTAAAGTTATTAGTGTCACCAATTAGCATGGCACTAAGAGCATGTCTAAACGATCGCATACTTGCCTCAAACTGTGTGGAGATGAATCTGTAGTAGTTTTGATGCTGTGGTTTCTGACTATCTATAAATGTGGACAAAATTATGCTAGCATAGCTAAAAACAGTTACCGCAGCTAAGCTGAGGCCTGAATTTGGTCCATGTTTATGTCATACAAACCACATAAGCAAGTAAATTAAAGATGATACGACAGTTTGGCTTCTTCTTCAGTGCTGTTTTATTTGCTCCGTTTTCACAGTGCCTGGCAAGCCCACCATGATCATCAGCACCACGGTGGGCAACACGGCGCTCATCCAGTGGCAGCCTCCTAAAGACATGGTCGGCGAGCTGATCGGCTACCAGCTGCGCTACAAGCGCGTAGAAGAAGAGGCCTTCACGGTACGGGAATTCAGACGCATGGACGACCATTACACCGTCACGGGGCTGTACAAAGGCGCCACCTACAGCTTCCACCTGAGCGCGCGCAACCGTGCCGGCACCGGAGAGGAGCACGTGAAGGAGATCAGCACGCAGGAGGACACTCCGAGCGGATTTCCGCTGAACCTCAGCGTGGTGGGGCTGACCACCACCACCACACGGCTGACCTGGGAGCCGCCGGCCCTTTCAGAGCGAAACGGACGGATACTCAGTTACATGGTGGTCTACCGAGACATAAACAGCCAGCAAAACAGCACCAATCGCACCTCGGACACACATATGACGATCCACGGCCTCAAACCGGACACGACGTACGACATCCGAGTCCAGGCCTTCACCAGTAAAGGTGGAGGACCCATCAGCCCCAGCATCCAGAGCAGGACCATGTCCACATCACCTGGTCAGTGTTTTCATGGAGATATAATAGCATATTGGATGTAGTCTAAAATACAGTGCTTTATTATGTTGATTTAAAGGGGTAGCTTGGCAAAAAATCATATTTACACAGGTTTCCTCTCGTCCTAAATGCAGCTGATCAGCCAATATAGGTTTGGTCTCTGAAGTTTGCCCGGATTAGGATTAGCAAACTGCCTGAATTGTCACACACAAAGCCTCAAGCCGCAATACATTGTTAAATAATCTCAAATAGACCTGTTGTCAATCAATAAATCAATCAGTCACTTAACGTTGATTTATAGAGTAGAAATAAATTCATTTACAGTGGAGCTGAGCGTTATACAAAAACAGCAGCAGCAGCTGAGAAGAGTAAATATACATTTGTTATAGAAATTCTGATTTAAAAAGTACATAAAAATAAAAATTAACAAACATTAAGACGAATAAGACAAATCTTGACAACCAATTAAAACTATTAAACAGATGAGTAATAAAAAATAAATAAAATTAGTAATAAGAGTTAATAAATAAAACTGTTGCATGGGCTAAGAACAAAAAGATAAAATGGGAAACAATACTAAAACAATAACAAGAAAAATATATTTTATTTTATTTTATTTTTTAGATTTATTTTTGTTGTTTTCTTGGTTGATTTTTTTATTGTCTTTTTTTGCGCTTATTTTTATTATTTCATCATTTTATCATTACTGTTTTTTACTATTTTATAAATTATTTTTACTATTTTATACATTTTTTAATTTTTAATTTTCTTGGTTAATATATATCAACTAAAACAGATACAGGCTGAGTGGAGATAAAAAGTTTAAAATGGTCAGCGAGTGGAGTTTTAGAGAATCTATAAACATAAATTATCTGTAAACATAAACAAACGTACTGAAACGATCGCTGCTAGTGTGTGATGCAGCTTCAGAAACCCCAAAATCAAGTCTATTGGAGATACTGAACCTCCACTCACGCTTTGAGGAAGCTGTAATGATTTAGCCTTGCAGTTAGCACCGTGCTAATCGGCGATGCCAATAAGCTTTCATTGCTTGTTAACTACGTTAGCCTCGTAGCTCCAGCGCAAACCTAAAGAGGCAAACTTGCCTCTGCTGATCAGATCCGTTTGGACTGAGGGGTAAATTGTGCACATTTGATTTTTCACTCAACTGTTCCTTTAATATCCGGTCATCTCCATCAGCAGCTATCGGTCAGTTCTGTATCAGCAGTGGAGATTGCCGCAATGTCCACAGCGCCTCAGCAGTGCATTTTCCCGTCACACACACACAGATTCTTATCTAGTCTGCACGTTAGAGATGGCTGATGATGATCTCTGAGTTTCCAGCTGTATCTCAGCAGATGTGCTGCTGCATCTACAGCATAAAAATACATGGGAAGAGCAGCCAGTGCTGTTAAACAGCGTCACACCTGCGCGGCGCGCCGCAGGTGTCTGTCCACACTGCTGTTAACACCATGATAAACGTGCTGTCAGACAGGACAGAATTAAACATCCACATATGCTGATGAAAGTTCATCTGCTGCTGTGTCTGATCCATTTAGTCCAGCACAACACACACTAACACACCACCACCACGTCAGTGTTACTGCAGTGCTGAGAATGATCCACCACCCAAATAGTACCTTCTCTGTGAGGGTCCATGGGGGTCCTGACCACTGAAGAACAGGGTAAAAGGGGGCTAACAAAGTATCAGAGAAACAGATGGACTACAGTCTGTAACTGTAGAACTACAAAGTGCACCTATATAGTAAGTGGAGCTGATAAAATGGACAATGAGCGTAGAAACAAGGAGGTGGTCATAATGTTGTGCCTGATCTGTGTACACAGCGTATAAACAACTATAACTATAAACAAAATAAAGACAACATTCTAAAGCACACAATACACATATATACATACACATATACTATACACATCAATGGGGGGAATTCATTGGTTGAAAAACATGAATTAAATGTGTTAAGTTCAGAAATTGCAGTGAAGTAAAGTATAAATATGATGAAGAGCAAAAAACAGACCATTTTGAAGTAAAATAAAAGCCAAAAAAATATGATAAGCAGTTAAAATTCAATGTGTAAATAAATAGAAAAATGTATAAATAAAAAGCATTGTAGATTGTGTAGCTTCTATGTCTATAAATCTAAAGTAGTGCCTTCTGTTTTCTGTCCTGTAGCATTCGCCACAAGTTTTGGTGTGAAAGCTGTGATGAAAACCTCTGTTCTTCTGACCTGGGAGCTGCCTGAAAACTTCAAATCCCAAGTGCCTTTTAAGGTAGGAGCTTTGTTGTGTCTCTAAATTGGAGGAAATGGGACGTTAAAGAGGATTCAGGATATGTAAAGGTAGTCGGCCAGTTGAAATGAGGATTGTTTTTGTCTTTAATGTGCTCTTTTACGGCCGTCTATAAAAGACAATTTGCTGGAATAGCCAGATCTGCTCTAATTCCCAACATGGTGATTAGACGGCAACTGCTATGAGATCCCATCCTCAGGATTTTAACTCTGTCTAACCAGCAGTCCATTCAGAGTCTTTCACTTTCTAAAGGGCAATACCACTGATTTTTCAACATTTCTGCTCAGATGTCTTTACAGTGGTGGTGATAGGAACCAGGGGTCGCCATGACTACAACACAAATATAGACATTTTATTTACTATCCAGAACCACCAGTGAACCTACATGAGTCTTCTGAGTTTATATGGAGTGTTTATGATGGTAAAATAGTAGAAAATCTGTAAAAATAAGTTTTCTTTAGGGACTATTTTGCCTCACAACGCCCTGCATGTATCCCTCCACTGTGAATTGATTAAAATATATGTTTTAGGCCAAAACCTTCTCAAAACCATAAAACTGTGAGTGCGTTTACATGAATTCATACTCAATAATCCAGTCATATTCGGATTTCTGCAGTTATCTGATTATTCAAATGGTCATGTAAACAGCACACTCCGATCTAGAAATCCGATAAAGAGAGCTGGATTTTACATGCAGCCTGATAATCCGTTAATATTCCGACTAATAGCTCAATCGGAATAGAATACGTCCATGTAAACACTTCAATCGGAATAGTCTAGTCTGACTGAGGCCAATCGGAATACAATTTCTATCTGATTTAACGAGGTGGGTAATCCTGTAAATAATCCGTTAAATAGAAGAATAATATCCGCGTAAACGCTTGTATCTGATTACATTCCCTATCGGAAAGTTTAAGTCCGTTCTGATCATGTTCGTCACGTCATAGTGAAAGTTTATACCGTTCAACATGGCGGAGCAGAAACTGGTCTGCAGAGGAGACGAAGTTTATGCTCTGATCTTTAAAAGACGGCGGTGGGACGGACGTCCAGCTTATGTGTCTCAGAACACGACGTCTTCCTCTCGGCCTTCTTTAATAAGGACATGTGAAGGACGTTTTCCTGAGTCTGACATCATTTTAAAGCAATTAAAAACACAAGCACTGCTCACTGCTGCTCATCTCACTCTGACTGGACTCACGTGATGCTGGTTGTCATGGTAACGTTTACTCTAAGTGGTTCTCTACACATGCACGTCATTTTGGATCAGATTACTTGTAGTGAGCATATAAACGAAGATTTTCATCAGATTGTTGAGTAGAGTGAGAATAAACAACTCAGTCTTAATCTGTAATCCGAATGTATTCATTCGGATTGGCAAAAATCTTTGCATGTAAACACAGCCAGTAATCAGATTTCTCAGTGCATGTAAACTCTTACTCTGATTTCTTTCGGATTTCTTAGTCTGCGCATGCTGAAACCAAACACGAAATAGAGGATTTAACATTCTTCGTCTTCTAGATGATGTATGTTCATATTTTCGGGTAAAGCGGTGCGATGTTTAAAAACAATTGCGGCATGTTTCAGTTTTACATAATGTTTACGTCGCGTCTACTTCTGTGAATTTATTGGCTGGTTGTAAAGCAGAAATCCGATTACGGTCTGACTCATGTAGTCCCAGAGTTTTCCATTATCTGATTGCTGAAGTGCATATAAACGCGTCACGGATTACTGACAAAATCTTGCGTTCTTGCTGTTCACATCACTATGAAACTCTTATTATTGATTTACTTCATCAGAGGAACAGTGAAATGACACTGAAGTGTAAGTTGTACAAAAAAACCTACATATCCAGCTTTTTTAGATCACATCGTTTACATATCGGTATCAATGCATTGACATCATGTTATTAAAGACGACGAGTGGGTTAAACAACATTAAACAACAGAAAAGGCCTTTTAACTCAGGCTTAAAGCGTTAACTCTTCAGACTGACTCGTGTCTGAAGGAATCTACAAGCCGCCTCGTTCCCCCGTCGGTTGGAACTGCCTCTCTCCATCCGTTTGGACAGCCAGTCTGTGTGGCTTCACCATGCTGTCCATTACAATAATCCCATTACTGTAATAAGCATGTGGGTCAGACACACAGACAGACCTTTTCCATCGCCACCAGCTTCTGTGTGCGGATACGGAACAATCTGCTTATGCCATTGGCTTCTGTCTGACACTTTAACGAGCTTGTGACCGCAGAGTCTTATGCATTAGAGGAGGTGCCGGCTATTAAGAACGTTTCCAAATGCTGTTCAACTTTCCAGATACTTCGAGGATGAATTTCTGGTCCAGCAGGTTTGATTTAGTTTCAGAAAGAAGCACAACTCTCTAATCTGTTTGGATCACAGTGATGTTAATTGGCATTAAAGATTCGGTTTGGCGAAAAATCACATTCCAACTTTCGGAGCTACAAGGCTGATATACCCGACCAGTTAGCGTCCCAATCAATGTCCATGCGTCCCAAGTGCCTCACCTCGTGGAGTCGTTCAGTAATCTGTTATACTTGATTAGGTGGTTTCAGACTCTGTATGAAACACTGTTATCTGTAAACATGGACTACATTATGTCGTGTAAGTAATAACAGTAATCGTGGTCATCGTGAAGCCGGACTGCTGTCCGTAGTTTCATCTATTTTTAAGGAAAACAGAACAATAAACATGTCTGGTTAACATACTGTATGACATATTTATATCTATTAAAATGGACAAACATGCAGATAAAATACAGGCTGCTTCTGCTTTTAGCTGTGCTGCGTACTTTCTGACTGCTACCATAACTGCTGGTGTGGGTTCAGGCCAGTTTCCTTCCTTTCAAAGCACACAAATGTTAGTTTAGTGCCAATGATTGCATTACAAGTCAGATCAATGAGATGCTTCAAATCCAAAAACTTCCACTGAAGCATTGAATCATACAACATCCTTCAGTCCATGTTTATAGATAACAGGACGTCATACAGTAGCCATGTTTACATGCAGCCTGAAAATCCGTTAATAATCCAACTAATAGCTTAATCAGAAAAGAATACGTCCATATAAACACCTCAGTTTCTATCCGTGTGATCGAGGTGGGTAATCCTGTAAATAATCCGTTAAATAGGAGAATAATATCCGTGTAAACGCCTGTATCTGATTACATTCCCTATCAGAAAGTTTAAGTCCGTTCTGATCATGTTCGTCACGTCGTAGTGGAAGTTTATACCGTTCAACATGACGGAGCAGAAACTGGTCTGCGGAGGAGACGAAGTTTATGCTCTGGTCTTTAAAAGACGGCGGTGGGACGGACGTCCGGTTTATGTGTCTCAGAACACGACGTCTTCCTCTCGGCCTTCTTTAATGAGGACGTGTGAAGGACGTTTTCCTGAGTCTGACATCATTTTAAAGGAATTAAAAACACAAGCACTGCTCACTGCTGCTCATCCCACTCTGACTGGACTCACGTGATGCTGGTTGTCATGGTAACGTCTACACGAAGTGGTTCTCTAGGCATGGGCTTCGGATCGGATTACTTGTAGTGAGCATATAAATAGAGATTTCCGTCAAAATAAAGTAGAGCGAGATTTAAACGCCTCAGTCTTAATCTATGATCGGAATGTATTCATTCGATCAGCAACAGTCTTTGCATGTAAACGATGCTCTAAGCTACATCAGCCTCATAGCTCCAGCAACACCAGTCATGTCTTGACTGATCAGTTCTGTTTTTTCATATGCATTAATCGGTTTGTCTTTTCGCTTTGATGTCCTGCAACTCTTCCCCTGTAGATCCTGTATAATCAGCAGAGCGTGGAGGTTCAGGGGAACATGAAGAGGAAGCTGATCACGGGCCTGAGGCCCGACACCAACTACTCCTTCGTTCTGATGAGCCGAGGGAACAGCGCTGGTGGGCTTCAGCAGCAGGTGTCCATCCGTACTGCCCCAGACCTTCTGAAGACCAAACCCTTCCTGCTCAAAACTGACCAAGCCAGTGCTGGAAAACTCACCATCAACCTGCCCAGAGTGCCCACCACAGCGCCCGTCAGGTCAGTCGCTGTAACATGGCTGAAATAAGTCACACACAACCTATAGCTGTAAAAATGCATCACTTCAGTTGGCCTATCCAGGCCCCGCCCTTCTTTAGCTGGGGTTGCTAGGTTGGACAAGCTTTACGGAAGGCTTTAGAATGAGTTAGACTCGGTTTATATCACAATACCTACATTTAGAGTCGGTTATTCATTCAGCCTAATGAGAAACTGTAGAACAGACTCAGTTTATATCACAATACCTACATTTAGAGTCGGTTATTCATTCAGCCTAATGAGAAACTGTAGAACAGACTCGGTTTATATCACAATACCTACATTTAGAGTCGGTTATTCATTCAGCCTAATGAGAAACTGTAGAACAGACTCAGTTTATATCACAATACCTACATTTAGAGTCGGTTATTCATTCAGCCTAATGAGAAACTGTAGAACAGACTCAGTTTATATCACAATACCTACATTTAGAGTCGGTTATTCATTCAGCCTAATGAGAAACTGTAGAACAGACTCAGTTTATATCACAATACCTACATTTCAGTCCAAAATAATCAAGTCAAATTGTATTATGCGTTGAATCGTTTCCTAAATAATCATATGTACTTTAATTGAATCTTCACCTCCAGGAACAGCTGTAACAGCTGTAACAGCTGGAGTATTGACCCTTTTTTGCAGTTACTTGATCTTTCCTGTAATTGATTCAGATCTGAGCCCTTTACAAACACTGATTCATTCCCAAAGTAAAGTCTGTAGACCAGGTCAGGGCAGTGAAGCTGCGGTTGCCATATAATAATAAAACCCCCCACAGTTACACTGTAATTATTCTGTCTAAATGTGAGAGTGAGACTCCGCCTCCATTCTGCCAGCTCAGCACTTTCCAGCTGCTTTCCTTTCACTGTCTTTTCTTTCACTCACTCTTTCTTTCGCTTACTCTTTTTTCTTTCTCTTTTCCTTTGCGCTCTTTTCTTTCACTCTTTCTCAGTCACTCTTATTTTACTCTTTCTTTCACTCTTTCCTTTGACTCATTCTTTTGATCTCATTCTTTTCTTTCACTCATTCTTTCCTTTCAGTCTTTCCCTTCACTCCTCTTTTCTTTCAGTCTTTCTTTCCCTCACTCTTATTTTATTCTTTCTTTCACTCTTTCCTTTCAGTCACTCTTCTTTTACTCATTCTTTTCTTTCACTCGCTTTTTTCACTCCTCTTTTCTTTCACTCTTCCTCAGTCGCTCTTATTGTACTCTTTCTTTCACTCTTTTCTTTCTCTCACTCTTATTTTACTCTTTCTTTCACTCTTTTCTTTCTCTCACTCTTATTTTACTCCTTCTTTCACTCATTCTTTTGATCTCATTCTTTCACTCGCTCTTTTCTTTCACTTGCTATTTTCTTTCACTCTTTCTTTCATTCTTCTTTCATTCCTTTTTTCACTCTTTTTTTCACTCATTCTTATTTGACTCTTTCTTTTCAGTAATTCTTCTCTCACTCATTCGTTTCTTTCACTCGCTCTTTCCTTTCACTCTTTTTATTTCACTCCTTTTTTCCCTCTTTCTTTCACTCATTCTTTTCTTTCACTTGCTTTTTTCTTTCATTCACTTTTCGCTGTTTTCATTCACTTACTCTTTCATTGTTTTTCCTTTACTCAGTTCTCTCTCATTCTGTCTCTTCTTTCATTTTTCTCGTTCTTTGTCTGTTTGTCTCTCTTTCCCTCTGTCTTTCTCTCTTCTCTCTCTGTTTCCCTCTCCTCTTCTCTTTCCTCTCTTTTCTCATTCTCCCTCTCTCACGTTCCCTGCTTTTATCTTCTTCTCTCTCTTCTCTCTCTCTTTAAAAGCTCTACCATCATGCCATCAAACTGTCGTCCTCTCAGCGTCCACTCTTCTCCTCATCCTGTCATTATGCTGCACTCAGACACTCAGAGGCTCTTTAGCGTTTAGAGGTCAGGCCTGTGGGTCATTTCAGTGGTTTTCCCTCCTCGGCTCCTTCGTGAGGGGCATTTTCCAGCAAACCTGTTGCTTTAATATCCATGTCCAAACCCCTATTTTCACATTGACCCTTTTGTTAAAAGTGCCGGACTTTGAGAACCGAGAGAAAAGAGGTCCGCAGGTGGGGCTGAAGAGCCGCCCTGACTTCACTCTCTGTGGTGAACCGTGTGTTAAGGGGAGCGTTGTAACCCTTAGGGGAGTTGCCAGCAGTTTTAAAATCATGCTATCAAGGTATTTTATATGAATTTTATCTGAATTATTTTTTAATTTATCTGAATTATTTTAAATTAATTTTACATGAATTATTTTGTAGTTTATAGGAATTATTTAATATTACTTATTTTACATTTCATCTGAATTATTTTATATGAATTTTATATGAATTATTTGTTTATTTTATATGACTTCTTTTATAATTTATATGAATTATTTCATATGAATTATTTCTCACTCGTAGCTCATTCGAACAAGCGGAGAAATTGTGTGGAAAGTGCAGAATCTAAACTTTGAGTCCATAAGTACACTTTTAAAAACGATCAAAGGTTCTTTAGTAAAGGAAAAGGTTCTGTAAAGAACACTCAAACAACCCTTTGCATGATTAAAAGTTTTTTGCATGGTGAAATGGTTCTTCACATTGATGGCGAATGTGCTGCAGATGGTTCTATATAGAGCCTTTTTGAAAAGGGCTCTAGATAGCACCCAGAAGGCCTCTTCTGTTGTAACACTCTGAAAAAAGATGGTGCTTTGAGAGTTCTTTAGTAAAGAAAATGGTTCAGAGAACTTTTTCATGATTAAAGGGTTCTTTGCATCATGAAAGGGTTCTTCAGATTGATGGAGAATGTGCGTGAATGTGCTATAGATGGTTCTATATAGAACCTTTTAGGAAAGGGTTCTATATAGCTCCCAAAAGGGTTCATCTTTTGTTACAAGCTTGACATCGTAACAATAGAAGAACCCTTTTGGGTGCTATATAGAACCCTTTCCAAAGAGATATATATGCATATATAGCCATCTACAGCACATTCTCCATCAATCTGAAGAACCGTTTCATAATGCAAAGAACCCTTTTCATGGTTCTATATAGAACCATTTTCTTAACTAAGGAACCCTTGAAGCACCATCTTTTCAAGTGTAACAATAGAAGAACTCTTTTGGGTGCTAAATAGAGCTTTTCAAAAAGCTTCTATAGAACCATGTAAACACATTCTGAAGAACCCGTTCATGATGGAGAGAACTCTTTAATCATGCAAAGAGTTCTTGGAGTGTGTATGGTTCTTCATAGAAACATTTTCTTTACTCAAGAACCCTTGAATCTTTTTTTTTTAGAGTGCAACAACAGAAGAACCCTTTTGGGTGCTGTGTAGTTTTTCGAACATTTCAAAAAGGTTCTATATAGAAGCATCTACAACACATTCTGAAGAACCTGTTCATGAATTAAAGACCTATAATCATGCAAAGGGTTCTTTTAGTGTTCATGGTTGTTTATAGAACCATTTTCTTTACTAAAGAACCCTCAAAGAACCATCTTTTTAAGTTATTATTTGTACAGTCTTGTTTTATGCAAACTCAAACTTGTCAATAGAGAATTTGAATGGAATTTAGATGTAATTAATTTTGCATTTTACTATGCATGAAATATTACAGCTAAATGACAATAATAGCTGTTTTTCTAAGGTTCAACATCAGAGCGGAGATTTAAATGGTTCTAGATTGGCTGCCCCTCACATTGGGTTCAGTCTCAGCTGCCATGGAAAGCTGTGCCATTTCGCTCCTTCTCACCGCATCACGCCTGCCATTACAAATAAGGGCTCTCCACTGGAGTGCCTGCGTTTGGACAAAGACCCTTGATTTACTGCTGTGGTTAAATGTGCTGTAATTATTTATGCATGACATGGAAAAGGTATCATGTTCATATATAATTTACAGCGCTGAACGTCTTTATGAATGGAGAGGTCATGGAAATAATGCCCCCCTCCAACTCCGTCCTACCAAGAGCTGTGAGAAGCGTTCTCTAAAAAAGAGGGAAAAGTCATTTTAGCTGAACCGCAACATTAGCAGGCTTCCGCCTGACCCCCCGGCCGTCTGAGGCCGAGCAGCCTGGATGGAAAGAGAAAGAGCGAAAGTGTCGCGCTCTCTCGTCCCCAGAGCAGACGGGAATTGTGTTCCTGAGCGCTCGTTCTGATTGGGAAGGAGATTAGCTGTGTGTTGTGGATGAGAAAGGCCTGGTGCAGAGTGACGGTTCGGAGTGCTGCTGATTGATGTGGGATTTCTACCCACTCTCACGCTCAGTACTCTGGGGGGGTTTTGCGGTTGGGGCTGATTTTTTGCCGTGCCTTTGATCTCAGACGGTGGAGAAATTAAAGCCTCGACCTGCAGCTCACCAGAGGTTTCACTCACCCAGCCAAACACACACGATCAGAACCACACAGAACAGCCCAAATTAGAGCAGGATTACCTGACAGTGGGCACCCGGAACCGGAATCCGTCCATCTGTCAGCCTCAGGCATCAGCAAAGCCCATCCATCTGTCCATCCATCCATCCATTCAACCATCCATCCATCCATCCATCCATCCATTCAACCATCCATTCATCCATCCATCCATCCATCAGCCTGAGGCATCAGTAAATCCCATCCATCCATCCATCCACCCATCAGCCTCAGGCATCAGTAAAGCCCATCCATCCATCCATTCAACCATCCATCCATCTATCTATCCATCCATCAGACTCAGGCATCAATAAAGCCCATTCATCCATCCATCAGCTTTGGACATGCTTCTATCCATCCGTCCATCAGTTTCAGGCATCAGTAAAGCCCATCCATCCATCCATTCATCAGCTTTGGGCATCAGTAAAGCCCATCCATCCATCCATGCATCCATCCATCCATCCACCCGTCCATGCATGCATCCATCCATCCATCCATCCATCCATCCATCAGGTTCGGGCACCAGTAAAGCTCATCCATCTGTCCATCCATCCATCCATCCTTCAGCCTCAGGCGTCAATAGAGCCCATCCATCCATCCGTCAGCTTTGGTCATCCATCCATCCATCCATCCATCCATTATTTTCAGGGATTAATGAAATCCCTCAATCCATCTGTCCATCAGCTTCAGGCATCAGCAAAGTCTATCCATCCATCCCTCCATCCATCCATCTCTTCATCCACCCGACTATCCATGGATGCTTACACTGATGGACTTTGGATGGAGGATAGTGATAGATGGATTGAAAGGGATAGGAAATATGGATAAATGGTCAGACTTTATTGCTCTCTCATGGATGGATGGACTTTATTGACTTTATCTCCAAGGGGGAAAATCCACTCATAAATATGCGTATAAACACTCTTTGGGGAAAACTGTTTTAAAAATGCAAAAAAAAAAACCATAAACAAGAAAAACAGATACAGAACAAACACAAACGATGCCAAGGCTGCTGTATTCTGCAGCCGCTCGAGGCAAAGCAGGAAGTAACGATGGACTGAAGTCATCACCTGGCAGGTCATCGTCTTTTATTTTTTATTCCCACTTATGGGCAGCATTTCACACTGCAGCACTCTGACAGCTTTCCACCTGTAATTATCAGTGCAGTGGAGAAGTGTTTCGCACAGAATGAGACAGTGAGGCTGAGCTGACTCAGACGAGTCTGGACTGGTGTGCTGATGTTCTCTCTCTCTTTCTCTGTAGGTGGTACTACATTGTGGTCGTGCCCAGTTCCCTGATGTCCTCCCGCAGGTGGGATAACCCTGACGAGATGGAGCTTGATGAGGTGGGTCACACGGAGGTTATTACTGTTTTTTTGCCGTAGTCTAAAAGAAACAGTTCTGACTTTACGTTCAGTGTAGCTGATCAGTCAAGACAAGTTTGGTGTCTGAAGTTTGCTTTTTTGTTTTTGCTCTGGAGCTACGATGCTAAAAAAGCGAACTTCAGACACCAAACATGTCTTAGCTGATTAACTGCTTTTGGGATGCTTGTTTTTTCAACCAAAATGTTTTTTCTTAAGCCAAACAAAACTGTAATCTGGCCTGCCTTCTCTCATGCTCCTCATCCTCTGACCCTCAGCTCCTGGAGGCCAGTGAGGGTCCTCTCCTGAGACGGAGACGTCGTCACTCTGACCTGTCCAGACCATACATCGCTGCCAAATTGTCCTCACTGCCCGACACCTTCACCCTCGGAGACGAGAAGACATACAATGGCTTCTACAATCGGCCCGTGCCTAACAACCAGCCTTACCAGTGCTTCGTCATGGCTGAGCTGAAGGACCAGTACCTCCCAGCAGCGAATGAGAAACAGGTACTGCATAAACAATGTTTTTTTTTCATTTTACAGAGCGTCTAGTTAAGGCCAGTGGTAACTGGGCTATTCCAAAGCACACTCATCACATGCTTACAGCGATAGTTCAGCAAGAAACAAATGTTTACAGCCTTATTCCTCATCTGAAGTGTAGTTGAGCTGAGACGTGGTTGGTTTCTACAGTTTTCTTGCCTAAATATTTGCGTCAAATGGCTTTGCTTGTGCAGTTTGGCACTGTTTGACTATAACTGTCTGGAAAAGTGGACGTAAGTGGACGAATAAGAGGCTGTTACGGCTGTTTTTAGCTAGGTAATGTACTTTAGTCCATGTTTATAGATAATAGTGAGTCGTACAGTGTCATAAACCACAGAGTATAAATACTCCAGCAGCACTGCTGTGTCTGATCCACTTGTACCAGCGCAACACACACTAACACACCACCACCACGTCAGTGTTACTGCAGTGCTGAGAATGATCCACCACCCAAATAGTACCTGCTCTGTGAGGGTCCATGGGGGTCCTGACCACTGAAGAACAGGGTAAAAGGGGGCTAACAAAGTATCAGAGAAACAGATGGACTACAGTCTGTAACTGTAGAACTACAAAGTGCACCTATATAGTAAGTGGAGCTGATAAAATGGACAGTGAGCATAGAAACAATGAGGTGGTCAGAATGTTGTGCCTGATCGGTGTATGTACAAGTTACTACCCACCTCTGCTTGTTAGCTACATTAGCCAGTGCTAAAGCAGACTTCAGACACCAAATGTATCTCAGCTGGACAACTACATTTGGGGTAATTGTTTAAAAAAGTGCGCTTATCCTTTGCTCTGGTTTGCGTTCTGCTCTTCTGAGTGCTGTTTGGCCAGATAACCTCCCTCTCTGCCTCTTTAGCTGTGCATCAGAGTGACTTTGTGACGTCAAACTGTGCTGATGGTTTATTAATAAGCAAACACGCTGCTCGCTGCCTGCCAGTCTGAGTGGCGCAATGGAGCAGGCATTACCTCAGGCCTGTTTTTGGAGCAGAAATTAGATCAGGCAGCAGAAACTCCCCACTCAGTCCCTCTTGAACGTCTGCGGATCTGGAAACGAACTCAAATTAAAGTTAGCGCACAGGCCTCGAGGAGCGTGAAAATGAATCAGTGCATCTTCATGCATTGATCTGACGTTGGCGATGCCTCTGTATTGATGCTGGAGCGTTAGAGTTGGTTACAGTCAATTAGAAAAATATTCAAGAAAGCATGGAGACGAAATTTCCAGGCTATTTTTAAAGATAAAAATAAAAAAGCTTATTTTTTCTACACTGGAGCTGCTTCAGTGATATTTGTGTATTTTTTAAAAATAATCAAATGATTGTGGAATTTATTTAATGATGCCTTTTATCATGTCTTAAAGAATCATAATCAAAGCTCAGTTATCATAGATTTGCACCGCTACACATCCTTAAAATTCTGAATAGTTCTTGGCTTGGATGTGCAGTTCTAGGAAAAACCTTTAACTGGTATAGAACCTTTACATTACGTGGAGGTTCTTGAAACTTTAACGAGGTTCTTCAAACTCTCACACCCTTATTTACAGTTATGTTTCTGTTGACAGGTTCTTTAGGAATGCAAAAGCAGTTCTTTCACTTCGTTGCTTCAGAGAACCTTATCTGGAACCTTTATTTTAAGAACGCAGGGCCTCTAGAGATGTTGAAGAGAATGTTTCGCTCTATCCTCCTTTGCATCACTCTTTCTTATGGTAACATGGGGAGAGAGAGAGAAAGAGAGAGAGAGAAAATGGGTTTTGAGGACTTTCAGGCTTGTCCTGAATCCTTTCAAGCTGAGTGTTAAGTATCCCTAAAGCTGCCCTCAGTGCTCTGCGGTGGGGAAAAGTGCTCTAACCTCCTCACTCAGCATTTCAAAGCCTGCTCCACCTTTTCCCTCCAAATTTTTCTGCCCTCAGGTGACCCCTCTGTCCTCTTCCCTCACTCCAGTCCAGCAGGATCGCTGTCTGCTGGACTGTCTGGAATAATCACTGCATCAGTTCAGCGCAGTTCAGTTCACGTTGTCAGATTTGAATCATCTCACTGACCTCACTCCCTCACATTTAACAGCCTGAAGATTCTCCACAAGGGGGAGCTGTTAGCACTCAATCAACTTTTGCATTGGCTTGAACCCAAACCAGCAGTTACTATTTTAGCAGTTACTGTTTCAGCTATGTGACGTACTTTAGTCCACACTCTTAAAAAAGATGGTTCCTCAAGGGTTCTTTAGTAAACACAGTGGTTCTATTACAAACAATGAACACTCAAAGAACCATTTGTGAACTAAGTGGTTCTTGGCATCATGAAAGGTTCTTCAGAATGTGTTGTAGATGGTTTTTTATAGAACATTTTTTAAAAGTTCTATATAGCACCCAAAAGGGGTTGTTCTGTTGTTACACTCTTAAACAAAAGATGGTGCTTCAAGGGTTCTTTAGTAAAGAAAATGAGCAAGAAAATGAACGCTACAAGAACCCTTTGCATGATTAAAAGGTTCTATGCACATTCTTCAGAATGTGTTGTAGATGGTTCTATATAGAACCTTTTTGAACACGGTTCTGTGTAGCACCAAAATAAGTTCTAACGTGACAATGTCAAGCTTGTAACAATACAGGAACCCTGTTTGGTGCTATATAGAACCATATACAGCACAGTCCTCATCCGTCTGTAGAACGATTTCACCATGCAAAGAACCATTTAAGCCTGTGAGTGGTGCTTTGAGTGTTTATAGTTCTTTGTAGAACCGTTGTCTTGGTCAAAGAACCTTGAAGAACCATCTTTATAGATAACAGTGAGTCATACAGTGTCAGAAACCACATAATCAAGTCTTTTAGAGATAGAACGTTAGCACGGTTCTAATTAAGCTTCCATCACTTGTTAGCGACGTTAGCCTAATAGCTTTGGGACGGAACTAAAGATGCGAAGCTCAGACAGCAAACATGACTTGGTTGTTTGATTTAGTTCAGGTCAAGGAGGAAAACTGTGAATTTCATTTTTTGCTGGACTGCTCCTTTAAACTGAGCTGCTCAGACTGTAATGCTGTGTGAGTCTGAGTTGAGCTTTGAAAGGAAGGCGTGTTTGGAGGCTGCGTCTCTCTGCAGTCTCGCTGCTCTGAATCTGCCCTCCATCGCCCTCCTAACGCGCCGCTGTCAGGGCAGATGGATGAGAGGCTGCAGTCAGAGCCGAGACTCCGCTCGGGTCCCCGTGGAGCAGCGGGGCCCCGGGGGGCCACAAAAGAGCTGCTTTCAGTAGCAGCTCCGGGGCGAAAAACAATAGACACAGCGTTTAAAAATTGCTCATATTTCATCAGCGGCTCCCCCAGAACCGACAGGCGGGCCACAGCCGTGCCAGAGAACGAGAGGAACGCAGCCAGAGAGAGAGGGAGGGAGAGAGAGAGAGAGTAGGAGAAACAGTGGGTGAGGAGAGAAGAGGAGAAAGAAAGAGGGAAAGACAGACAGAGATGAGAAGTGGAGAGAAAATGAATGACACAAAGAAGAGGAGGTAGAGAGAGGGAGCAAGAAAGAAAGAGAGACAGCAGGAAGGAGGAAAAAGATAGAGATAACAAGAGGAAAAAGAAGGAAGAAAGTGAGAGAAGAAGGCAAAGAGGGAGGAGAGGAAGAGAGAAAGAAAGAGAAAGGGAATGGAAAGAGAGGGGAAGAGAAAGAGAGAGAGAGGGGAGTGTTAGAGAGATACATAGAGAGAGAAAAGAGAGGGAGAGGAAGACAGAGAGACGGGAGAGAGGGAAAGAGTTACACAGAGGAAAGGGAGAGAGAAAGAGAAGAGAGGAAGAGGGAGAGAGATACACAGAGAGAGGTAAGTGAGGCAGGAGAAGGAGAGAGAGACACATAGAGGAAAGAGGGAGAGAAAGAGGAGACAGGGAGAGAGACAAACAGGGAGAGGAGAGAGAGAGAGAGAGATAAACAAGGAGAGGAGCGAGAGAGAGATAAACAGGGAGAGGAGAGAGAGAAAGAGAGATAAACAGGGAGAGGAGAGAGAGAAGTAAACAGAGAGAGAGACAAACAGAGGGAGAGAGAGAAGTAAAGAGAGAAAGAGAGAGAGAGATAAACAGGGAGAGGAGAGAGAGATAAACAGGGAGAGAAGAGAGAGAGGGAGAGACAGAGGTAAACAGAGAGACATAAACAGGGAGAGGGAGAGAGAGAAGTAAAGAGAGAGAAAGAGAGAGAGAGATAAACAGGGAGAGGAGAGAGAGAGAGATAAACATGGACAGGAGAGAGAGAGGAGAGAGAGAGAGAGATAAACGGAGAGGACGCGAGCGAGATAAACAGAGAGAGAGAGAGATAGAGAGAGGTGTCTCTGTGTACAAGTATCACCCAGGGCGCATAAACAGGCTGGAGGAGGTGTGAAATGGGATGATAGATCGCGAGTGTGTAAACAGAATCATTTAAAGCGAGCGAGGAGAGAGGGAGCGAGAGAGATGACAGGAGGAGGGCGAGCGAGGGAGCGGATGAAGGAAATTGAAGGAGGAAAGAAACAGCACAAAGAGAAAAAAGGGAGAGGAGCGATATAGCTGGATGTTCAAGCAGCAGCGAGAGAGAGAGTGCAGCTAGAGCGAGAGACACTGTGAGAGAGTGGAGAGCAGGCCGAGAGGGTCGGTAGCCGGGTCAGAGAGGGCCTGCAGCGGCCGGGCTGTTTCTGCCAGATAAAGCGCCTGCATTAGCGCGGGAGCCGGCCGAGCGTAGCTGCTCTGCCGTGGCCCCGAGGGGACCGGCCCTCGCCGCATAATGTGTTTGTTAACATGCAGCCGTCGTGTGCGGTTCATTTTTTTAAATACGCTGCGTGTTTGTCGAGGCGTCTCCTGCTCACGCTCGGTTACGCTGTTACAGAGGACGGAGCAGAAACATCAGTACAGTCTCCTCGCCTTTCGCTGGGGAAGTAAAGGCTGGAGTGCTCTGAGCTCTCGCTGTGTTTCTGTATCCACGTTTTCCCACATTCCTGCTGTTTTTCAAGATTACGGCTGAAATATCCAGCTGGGGAACGTAATGTCATTCACTGTTTTCACTCTGCAAATAAATATTATAGAAGTAATAAAGAAAGAGTGATAACGAAAGAGAAAAAAAGAGGGAGAGAAAGGATGCTGACAGACTGTGATAAAGAGAAATGGAGAGATCAGGATGGAGAAGAGAAGAGAGGAGAGGAGAACCGAGGAGAGGAGAGGAGAAGAGTAGAGAAGTGAGGAGAAGAGAAGAGTAGAAAGGAGAAGAGAGGAGAGGAAAAGAGAAGAGAAGAGGAGAAAAGAGAAAAAAGGAGAGAAGAGAAGAGAGGAGAAGAGAAGAGATGAAAGGAGAGGAGAAGGGAGGAGTAGAGAAGTGAGGAGAACAGAAGAGTAGAAAGGAGAGGAGAGGAAAGGAGAGAAGAGGAGATGAAAAGAGAAGAGAAGAGGACATGGAGAAGTGACAGAGTTCCTTTATCTGCAGTGGGATAGGGCACAGCCCCCCCCGCTCCCCCTCACCCCCCCCGGTGTCCCCCGGTTCCCCCTCTCCGTCCCGCTGTAATCCGGATCATTAGCCCCCGTCTCTTCTAACAGCTCTCTGATATTAATTGGGCAGATAAGGGGAATATTAGCTGGAGGAGATGCGAGCGCTGGAGATACGCTTTATCTGCTCCTCTCACACGTCTGAACCAACGTAGAGAGAGAGAGAGAGAGAGAGAGAGAGAGAGAGAGAGAGAGATTGATGTGAGAAAGCAGGGTCAAATGGTCACTTTACTGAGAACATACGGTCTGGAGTTTTTGTGACATCACAATTCAAAACGGGCTGTTTTACCCCAGTCTAGATGGACCGGGACTGCCACTCAGCTGCCACTCAGCTGCCACTCAGCTGCCGCTCAGCTGGCAGTTCTTCATCTGGTTGGATTTTGTGGGCTCAGATTCCAACAATAACAATGGGGCTTTTTCACTCGGCGACCATGAAGCCGTGTTCCTGTGTGCGGTGCAGCTCTGCGCTTCCTCAGGAGGTTCAGGCTCGTAACATTGCGGCTCTTGCTGTAGTCTCAGTTTCACTCAGCTGTAGTGACCACTGCAAACTTCACAACCTCCCAGGAACGCTTCAGAGACGGTTTATGGGAGGTGAAATGATAACAAGTGAGCACACATTCCTTCACACAGTGCTTTTTCTCTTCTCTTCTCTTCTCTTCTCTTCTCTTCTCTGGTCTCCTCTTCTCTTCTCTCCTCTTGCCTTCTCTTCTTTCTTCTACTCTTGTCTTCTCTTCTCCTCTCTTCTCTCCTCCTCTCTCTTCTCTTCTCTCCACTTCTCTTCTCTCTTCTCTCTTCTCTTTTCTTTTTTTACTCTTCTCTTCTGTTCTCTACTTGTCTCCTCTCTTCTCTTCTCCTCTTTTCTTTTCTCCTCCTCTCACTTCTGTTCTCTTCTCCTTTCTTCTCTTCTCCTCTCCACTCTTCTCCTCTCCTCTCTTCTCTTCCCTTCTCTTCTCCTCTCTTCTCTTCCCTTCTCTTCTCCTTTCTGATCCCTCCATTTCTCTTCATCACAGTTTCTTTCTTTCTTTCTTTCCTTCTTTCTTTCTTTTTTTCTTTCTTTCTTTTATTTCCTTCCTTTTCTTTCTTTCTTTTTTCTTTTTCTTTTATTCTTCCTTCATTTCTTCCTTCCTTCCATCTTTCCTTTCTTTCTTCCCTTCTTCCTTCAAATAAGAATATTTTAATTTTTTTATTAAAGAGTGTGTAGGAACAGCACTTCAGAGAACCGAGGATGGAGTGAAAACAGACAAAAAAAAGTAAAAATATATTTGTTTAAAAATAATTGAAGACTAATTTGTCTCGCTGCCACTTTTAATTGCGCTTTAAATCTACTGGTTTGTCTGAAATCGACTCTTTCAGATCTGAATTCCATGTGACTGAAGTGACGTTAGCAGCTCTGTTGATCATCAGTCCAGTGAGCTGCTGGACGAAGGTTTTTTCTGACCCGTTTGAGTTTAGTGATGTATTGGTGAAAATCGCTCCGCCCTCAGATCAGTGTTTGAGTTATTTTGCTGTGTGTGGTTGGCCTCGCGCTCCTTCTGTCTCCTTCTCTGCTCCTCTTCCTCTGTTATGTTTCTTTTTTCCTGGCTCTGCTTTGATCCTGTCCTCTCTCTCTCCGTGTGCACGTGTGAGCGAGGCTTTATGGTAATGTGAGGTCACTGCGGGGCTGCAGGGCTGCACAGGAGGCTTGTTAACAATGTTCTGTGTGTCTTATCGTCCTACATGAAAGAGTCCACTCGGGACACTTTGTGGGAAATCCCTGCAGACCGCAGTCCTGCTCTGGGCTTTCATTAAAGGCTGCAGCTGGCCTTTTCTGTGGTCATTCATATGAGTGACAGACTGTAGTGTGTTCACATTCTGCTAGTGAGGATTTTTTTTTCTGTGCTTAAAAAGTAATGAAATGTTCAAAAAATACTTTCTCCCTGCCGGAGCCCTGCTGCTGCCACAACTTACTAAGGTGTGGGAACGAGATAATTAAGTCGTGGGCATGACACAGTAAGGCGTAGGATCGAGATCATGCCTTACTAAGTCGTGGCCACGCGTTAGGATCTTGTTCCCACGCTCTGCTAAGTCGTGGCCATGCATTAGGATCCCGTTCCCACACCTTACTAAGTTGTGGCCACGTATTAGAATCTCATTCCCACACCTTACTAAGTCGTGGCCACGCATTAGGATCTCGTTCCCACGCTTTATTATGTCATGGTCACGCATTAGGATCTCGTTCCCAAGCCTTACTAAGTTGTGGCCACGTATTAGAATCTCATTCCCACACCTTACTAAGTCGTGGCCACGCATTAGGATCTCATTCCCAAGCCTTACTAAGTCGTGGCCACGCATTAGGATTTCGTTCCCATGCTTTACTAAGTCGTGGCCACGCATTAGGATCTCATTCCCACGACTTCCTAAATCATGGCCACACATTGTGATCCCGTTCCCACACCTTACTAAGTTGTGGCCATGTATTAGAATCTCATTCCCACACCTTACTAAGTCGTGGTCGTGCATTAGGATCTCATTCCCATGCTTTACTAAGTTGTGGCCATGCATTAGGATCTCATTCCCACGCCTTCCTGAGTCATGGACATGCATTAGGATCTCGTTCCCATACCTTACTAAGTTGTGGCCACGTATTAGGATCTTGTTCCCACGTCTTACTAATTCGTGGCCACGCATTGTGATCTCATTCCCACACCTTACAAAGTCGTGGCCACGCATTATTGTTATTTATACAGGATGTCACCAGTGGGGCTCTGGAACTCCCAGCTCTCCTGTGGGCTCACATACACCACATCAAAAGTCACCTACAGTAGCATTTCAAACGGTTCTTAAATGGTCATCTAACCATATTAAGGCCTAAGCAGGTTTATTTAAATTAAAACAATACCGCACATGTAAATTAGTGACATCATCTGAACCAATCACAGTCAGGGGGATGTCTCAGGAGCCTGGCCGCTTCCTATTTCTCTCGCTATATCAAAAGCATGACTGAAGAACACTAGAGGGCGCCCGCGATTCCTCAGTGAATGGGGGTGAATGGAGCTAAACGGTTTAAAATGAAAAATTAAACCAGATATTAACCATTTGTGCAGAACTTTCTTTAGTTTTGGAAAGTAAAAGGATGTATTTCACTACAAAACTCAAAGAAAACTTGGCAGCATCTTTCAGCTTTTACAGCAAACAGATTTTGGGCAGTGGAATTACCGTCAGTGCTTCTGAGAGCCGTTTGCATTAACCGACGTGACGTTATGAATGTACATGAGGCACTGTTATAAAGTCCTATATCCGGTGTTCAAAAGCGCTCAAAATATAAGTATTTTGTGCATTTTTCAGTACTAAAATGATCAAGCGTTCACAAACCAGATTTTGGGGTAGCTCAGCGGCGCCACCTAGTGTCTGATGAGCCCAGAAGACATTATTGAGTGGCGCTTTTCCTCTCAACACATTCTCTGACCGTATGACCTCAAACCACCACATTGCTTTGGTTAAAACAAATAGTTTTGCTTCTGAATGTCGTTCCTGTTTGAAATATACTGTCTGCTTTAATTTTAGATTCATTTTGATATCATTACCATTGTGTTTACGCCATTTGGTGGTGTTTGTCATGTTAAGCCTAAGCGTCTAAGCATCTTATAGATGATGACCTCATCCTGTTTGTATACAGGGTACCATGTAGTCCCATTTATTCATCTGTCGGCTCTTGTTTCTTATAACGTCATTATCTCCCAGTGCTGAAGTGGCTGCTAACCCTAGTGTCTCTCTCTCTCTCTCTCTTTCTGTAGCGGATGTTCTCTGCCAGTCCGTATTCGGACCCCATCACGGTGGCCAGTGGAGGCAGTGTGTCGCGCAGTGTGGAGCAGCCGGAGATGCTGTGGGTGATGGGCCCGGTCCTCGCTGTGGTGCTCATCGTCATCATCGTCATCGCCATCCTGCTGTTTAAAAGGTGAGATACAGCCACCGCGTCCCATTTCACAGTAATATAGCGCTGAGAAGTCTGGAGTTATCATTTTTGTTTTGCTACACTAAATGTAATTACACAATTTCATGATTAATGAAGTTAAAGAGTTACATTTACATTCAATTTACACTCTGCGTTGACAGGTTCATCTTTTTTTCCATCAGAAAGGTCAAAAAATGATAAAAACATTTTTTTTTTCTGCAGTACACCCAGCAGGAATGACTGTATACAGTGTTATATCAGTAGTAATATTTATATGTTTCACTGCTGTCGGAACAAAACCTCGTATCTCCAAAATGACAAGTTTACAGTAGAAGGAAAAAGCATACTTTACTTTTAATGTAAGTCAATGGAACCAGACTTGTTTTCAAGTCATTTCGGGACAATTCCTTTGGTCCAATTATCATAAAATGTAAAAAAAAAAACAACATAAAGGTTTTCAAATTATGCCAAAAACTGAAAAACGGCAAAAATGGAGATACAAGGTTTTGTTCCAACTGCAGCGAGATATATATATATATTATATATATATATATATATACACACACACACATACATACACATATATATATATTGATCGGCTCATTATTTTGACACATAGCATCATGTGGTGGGTAAAACAATATTAATGCAGGGCCGTATTCATCACACTGAATATCATAATCACTCTCTTATACATGTCATTTTGGCCAGAGGTGTTCTAACTTTTGTATGTGAATGTATAAGGTTATGTCAGTGTTATATAGCAAGGTATAAGTTATCAGTAGTAGTATCATTGTCGTAACATTGTTTATATATTTTTTTCTTGCTGCTGTCGGAACAAAACCTCGTATCTCCATTTTTCTCATTTTCAGCGTTTTATATAGTTTGAAAAAGCCTGTTGTCCTTTACATTGTGTGTAACTTTGCATGTAGAACGGACCAAAAGAAACGGCCCAAGTCACTCGGTAAAAAGTTTGGTTCCGTTATCTTACATTAAAAGTAAAGTATGTTTTTTCGTTTTCCTGTAAAGTTATAGTTTTGGTGATATGAGGTTTTTGGTCCAACAGCAGTGAAATACATATGATTAGAGTTTGATCGAGTCATTATTTTGACACACAGCGTCATGTGGTGGGTAAAACAGTATTAATGCCGTCCAAGTGAACATATTCATCACACTGAATATTAGAATCGCTCTCTTAAATCAGACGTTGTGTTTGTGATGTCGCCTCTGCTGATATTTCAGTCATCAGGTGGGAAATTCATGTGTTTCTATATTAGAAACCTAATTAGAATGTTAATAAATGATAAAGGAGCACTCAAAGTCAGTATCTTATTATGTTTACCCTTTTGCCGGTGGCAGGTTGGAAAAGTAGGTCGCTTGTTTCCGCATCCCCATCTCCAGCGCGCAGTAGATGTGCTGGAGATAAGTGAAGGTTACTATTAATTGCATCAGCCCTTTGTATTCATCTCACTGAGGAAGTTCCACTGCTCTGTTCCTCCTCTGAACCGCCAGGTCTCTTTAAACAAGCTGCCAACACTCACTTATTATATAAACCATTATACACGGAGAAAAAGAGAGAAAGCAAAAAAGATGGGAAACAACATTCATACAGGTGTCCAGACTTGGCCAGAGAGCGGAGCGGCCGTGTTCTCCAGAGCAGAACCCGGTAATCTGGATCTGAAGCTTCAGACAGACCAGATTAATGGCCGTGTTGGTGCATCTGAACTCGCACATCTGGCTCAGACAGAGTTTTTCATCGTTAGCCCAGAATCACATAACGAAGCCCAAACTGCCACAGCTGCAGCTCTTAAAGCGCTGATACTGTGAAAAATGTTTTCTTGCTTTATTTTGAAAAAAAAAGAGTTTAATAAACTAAATAAACTGTTTTAAAAGGTCTTTAAAGTCCATATGTAGAAATTCAGCTGCAAAGAATACGTTTTTAGTTCGTCCATGCTCGTGATGTCACAGCCATGGACATGTTTACATATGACCACTGGTTTAGCCTGCATTGGTTTAGCCCCGCCCACTCCATTTTTTTCTTCTTTCCCTAACTTTCTTTATTTCTTTATTTATTTCTTTATTTATTTCTTTTGCTATTTTTGTCTGTCTTTTTATTTTTCTTTATTCCTTTTTTAATTGTCTGTATTTCTGTCTTTATTTCTGTTGTTTTTTATCTATTTATCTATCTATCTATCTATCTGTTTATCTGTCTGTCTATCTAGCTATTTGTCTGTCTATCTTTCTTTCTGTCTATCTGTCTGTTTGTCTGTCTGTCTATCTATCTATCTGTCTGTCTGTCTGTCTTTCTGTCTATCTGTCTGTCTGTGTATCTATCTGACTGAATGTCTATCTGTCTTTCAGTGTATCTGTCTGTCTGTCTATCTGTCTTTCTGTCTATCTCTCTGTTTGTCTGTCTGTCTATCTGTCTGTCTATCTGTCTGTCTGTGTATCTATCTGACTGAATGTCTGTCTATCTATCTATCAGTGTATCTGTCTGTCTGTCTATCTGTCTTTCTGTCTGTCTGTTTGTCTGTCTGTCTGTCTAGCTATCTGTCTCTCTGTCTGTCAATCTGTGTCTATCTGTCTGTCTGTCTATCTGTCTGTCTTTCAGTCTATCTATCTGTCTGTCTTTCTGTCTATCTATCTGACTGTCTGTCTCTCTGTCTCTATATCTGTGTATCTGTCTATCTATCTACCTTTATTTCTGCCTTTCATTTTATATTTTTTCTTTCTTTTTTTGGTGCCATTTAAACTCAATCCCAGTGTGCTGTGTTGACGTTCAGAGCAGCTCAAATGCGTCTCCGACCTTTCCGCGTTTCAGAAGAGCCCCTTTTTGGATCGCTTACCTTCAGGCGCTGAGTCAGATGTTTGTGTGAGAAGCAGATCTGAGGGGAAATGAGCTGAGAGATGTATTCTTTCACTTCAGATATCATCTCTGGAGTTTCTGACAGCCACTAATCATGAATGTCTCTTGCTCTCTTTGCTCCCTGTGAACGCAGCAAACAGGAGAGGTAGGTGCTATTAAATCGCCCACAGTGGTCCGAGTGCTCCATCTGTCCTCCGTCATCCATCTCACTCATTACTGTGTTCAGGGTCTGCTGTGTGGCTGGATTCATCACTTCTGCTGCTTTTAGTCCAGTTTATTAAAGGAATAGTTTGATGAAAAATCTAATTTACACACTTTTTCCCACTTCAGCCCAAACGTAGTCCTTCAGCCAAGATGTGCCAGATGTCGTAACGAGAGCACACATCTGGGGAGAACTTATTAATTAGAGTACCCCCCCCAAACCCCGCCCCCTAGTTTCTCTAGTCCAGTACAAACAATAAATAAATACAAGCAAAACAAACTAGTTAGTGAAACGCTGTCGTTAGGCAGCTGAACTGCTCTCCACATGCAGCTCACTTACATGCTTAATCGGAGTTTTTCGCAGATTTTTTAGCCCTGTTTACATCAGTGTGCTAACAACAGGCTTGCTGTTCATCAGACAATGTTGACGGGAGCACCAGCGCCCCCTACTTTGAGCTCCGCCTTCACCAGGAGTTGGGATTGGTTTAGAAATTTCACTCTGTTTTTTTCACACTCTAATAAGTCTGCTTGCCCACCGGTGTTGTAGTCATAGAAAATAAAGTGGCTGTACTGTAAATGTGCACCAGCCCAGCACAGAGTCAACAGATAAACGTCTAGAGAGGGATACATTTTAATTTGGATGTTTTTAGACACGTGAAATACTGAAACACTGGGATTCATTTGTTGTGCATCAGTTTACTGAACAGCACTGGTGTAGTTGGGTTTGCGTTGTTGTGACAGTGACTCAGAGATCTATCAGCTCATATAAACAGCTTCTCTGATCTTCCCTTTCTTTTCCATCCATTTCTGAATGGACACAACGCAAGAAACACTAAATAACTGGTTTTACCAGAAAATGTAATTCTTCCTTTTTAATCCAGAAGCCAAATCTGTCTTACAAAATTGCTAAA